AATACTTATTAATTTTTTATATAATACTTTTCTAATAATTTTAATCTTAAAAACTTTCTTATAAAGTTCACTCAATTATCAGACGACCTCTACCCCTGCCTCATGCTACGGTTGCCAAAACATTTATTAGAAGGGAGAACCTAACCCAGATCCCCAAATTGCCTTCAATCTGCAAACCCTAGATCTGTTTGAATCAATGGCGCAACTTGAAGAAATTGATGAACCCAAGAGCGAAAACAAGAAGAGGAATCATGGATCGACGAAGTTTTTCGTATTCGTAGACAACCTTTTTCTTTGCATCTTCTTCGGTTTCCTCTCTTTCCTTCTCTACAAGATGCTTAGCTTCTGATTCTTTTGGGAATTTCCTTTCAATCAGGTAACTCTCTAAACCCTACGTCTTCATGTTGTTTTGTGACATGTTCATTTTGTGAAATCTGGGAAGAAAATTACTGGGATAGGATATGAACTGCTGGGGTAGTATTAACAAGAATTGTAGGCACCAAATGACAGTGATGCTTATCTGCCTAAAGATATTGTATTTGTATCTATTTTGGTTCAAGTAGCGTGAAATCTACATTGAGACATTAAGAAAAATTATTATGCCATAAAAAATTATGCCTTTGTAGGCTTGTAGCACTAACATAGAGAAAGTTTTACTTTTATTAATTTTCAATTAAAAAGATATGATTTTTTCTGCAACTTCTGTTTGGCAGGTAGGTAGCTAGGGTTGCTTTTTTTATCCTTCTCTAAAAAGTAAAAGATTTATATTCAATAGTTTCTTGTTACATTATCTTTCATATTTCATCCTGATTAGTTTAATCAAATATCTATAGGAAAGTTTTAAGGTTTGCTACTAACAGCAAGTAAAACTGTTAATGCTCTAAAATGTGGTCAAAAGTGAATTTGAGCATACCGGATTTTCATTCACTAACAATAGGGATAAAGGTGCTAGTTACCAAATGCTTAAGGGTTTTAGTTTTCCATCATGGAGGAATCAGTTAACAAAACTTGCTTGGATTTTTTTAATCTCTATCCTTCTCTTTGTTGTCTTCCCTATAGGATATAATTTTCCTCTTCTCCTTAAAAATACTATTTTGAAAACAATCTTTGATGATGAACCATACGTTTCCAACTCAGACCATATACATTTTTCTCTTTTCTACAGGATACTCTTTACAACACATCAAGGTTTCATGTGAGATTAAGTTCAAAGCTTTGGGACATTTTTGGATCTTGGTTTGGTTAGATTTAGATTCTGTGCCTCCAGGTCTATGAAATCTTTTCTTACATTCAGGAATTTTTTGTCCATTTGATTGAAAAGGGAAATGGAAAGTGTTTTCTGCACTTCTTGCCAATGTAAGTCATGACATGCAATCTGAATTAAATTATTTGAAAGTCAACTTTACCGACTTTTTAAATTCTCTTTATGTGATTATATCAGACTTTTTCATTTTCTCTTCTTCTATTGAGATAAATAAGCAAAATCTCTAGCTGTAGTCCCAACTTGCAAAGGTAGCTTAAATGCTATCCACTCAAGACTGCTTCTTTTTGGGGCTAATCAGGTGCATATGGATTTTCTTAGACAATAGAAATGCATTTTCTGCACCTTGATAAGTTAACATAGTGGGTATTTACTTCTGGAGAGGGTAACCACCTGATTTCATATCGTTTTCTTGATTGGAGAAGACTCTTCCTGCACAATTTCATTTTTATTGGTGGCTTTCAATTGTAAGTACATTGAGTCATTAATGACAACAAGAAGCAGCATTTACTAGGATGGGATATAATACAGCACTGGGGAGAAACTGAATATAAATTTATCATCTGGGGTGGAGCCGTGGAGGGGATGGTTCAACTCAATTGGAGCAGAAACACTGTTCTTATTGTGAAATGATGATATTTTGGTAAATTTTTTCTTTTTTCAAACTTTTTTATTTTAAAATATTTTTTTTAGACAAATATCAATTGTGTATCATTCATTTTAAATACAAAGCTCCTTAACTTGAATGTAATTTACTTTAAAGACTTATTTAAGGTTAAGTAGCTGTACTTTGTTGGCTCATCTAAACATTCATTTCAATTGGCAATTTGTGATGTGATAGTTTACAGCATGCATTGCAAAAGTTTGAGGCAAAGTACTTTTTTTGTTTTTTTTGGCAATTAGATTTGAGAAATATAGGTTAGCTCTACAACTAAAGGTATGAGAGAAATAAATGCATTCTATCTGCCATTTTGTGCATTGCAAATGCCTAGGGTTCAAAGATTGCTTGCAAACATCTTCTTTGTTTCAAATGAATATTTGTATCTGTCCCTTGCAATCTGAGGTTGCCTACGGGATCTAAAAGAATACATAAGTAGACCCAGAAAGTTGGAAATCAAGCTACATCACCACATAGCAACTAACATTTTCAAAATAAGATGCACAGAAGACATAGAAACTATTAGAATGGCATGTGGGAGACACCACTAGCAGACTAGCACACATGATTCATCTTAGAAACACATAAACATTATAGACTGGGACTTCATGACAAGGTCATTCCAAAAGGCAAGCATCTAGAAATCTTATTGGAAGTTTCATCCTGCATCTAGCACAACTGTTCTTTTATCAATGCATAACTGAGCATACTCAAGGCTGCACTGATGCTGGAACATCATGGCCATAACTCCTGCCAGGGTTTGGCACCCCAAAGCCTTGGTTTGGGATGAAAGTGTTATGTCCACCTGGAATAAAATGTGTTCATCCACTGCTGCCATTGTGTGTCAAGTAAGAGGTATAGAAGCTGGTGGTACCATTCCCCTCCCAAATGCCTGGAATGACCACACTTTGGTTAGGCTGAATGAAACACTAATGCTGTTTTATTTCATTGTTCTTGGAGCTTTTGGTGGTGGGAATTTTGCATTTTGCATATGCTTGTGCAGATACTGCAAGCAAAATGTTGACAATAAAACTTGAGCATGGAGAGAAAATTCAGGTCTGCGAACATTATAAATGGAACTCTTCCACTGTACTTTGGTTCTTATAGATGGTGTTTATGTGAAGTTTGGTCATCTTACGGTGGTGTGTTAAGAGAGAGCTTCTCTAGGAAAACCACAGCATATGGTAGGTCTCGGAAGATTAACGATTTTTGTGACAGTTTTTTGCAAGGTTGGATGAACCTTGGCGGTGAGTTATGCGAGGAAATCTCTGTGGAAAGACTAGCATAAAATGATGACCCATTGGGTTTGCAAAGTCATTAGGATGGACACGAAATATGCCTGAGAATGCAGGTTTGAGTCCAGTTGCCACTTGATTGCAAACAATTTCATTAAAACACACCCGCCACCATTTCCTTGCTGTGAGTTGGCCTTTTGCTTCTTTTTCTTTCTTTCGTCTTTCTTCTCCTTCTTCCTTTTTTTTTCCCTCTTCTTTTTTCTGGGTGCAGAGTTTGATGAAATTTGGCAGTGAATTAGGAGATGGTTTGCTCTCAAGGGACAGTAGTAGCTGGCAGAATTGAAGAAATGGAAAGGCCAATGGTAATGGGAAGAGTTTTATGCTTTTTTGGGTAAGCTTGGCTAATCACTTTCGGTCTCTTTTGTTTGGTGCCTCATTACATTGAGTCACCTAACGGTTCTTCCACCTAATGAAGTGTCTCCACCATCTCACACTCCAAATAATCTTTGATCTTTCACATGATAACATTTACAATGGAAGACTGTTAATGATTCTTGCTCAACCCGGTCATTCATTCATTCTTTATGAATGCATTGATGATAAAGAACATTTGTTAGGAATTTAATGACACTAACAGAGCTAAACTCATGCAGTTTAATCTCTTCAAAGTTGAGACCAACGCTGTTTTCCTAGAATATTTTGTGCAATACTACAGAACAAATAGTCGTGGCAATAATTTACCTGCATTACAGTCACCAATCCAGAAGGATTTCTTTCAACATCAAAGCCACTGCAGTTCTGTATCTAGAACACAAAATTTAGGGGTTTGGCCTCTCCTCGGAAAACCTTGGAAGTTGAACAAGTGAGTTCACTCGCGTCACGCCTTCCAAACCTGACCAATTTTGATCTTCAGCTGCAATATTATCTCCATTGGCTTCAGACTCTTGTTGTAGTCTTCCATAAGTATCATTTTCATCAGATGATCTAACAGTGAAGTTTCTTTGAAGTGATGGTTCTGATTTCTGACCATCATCTGATTCAACTGCATTACTAGAATGGTTTCTCAGAAGGGTCGCTGTAGAGAAGCCCTGTTCTTCACAATCAGATTCTGAGTCCATTTTTCCATCCAAAAATAGGCAGACCACCGCACAATCATCCATCTTTGAAGTTGGGTATTTGAGTTTCCACTCTCGAGCAGCTGAGTCCACCAGAATCCTAGCTGCTGATGCTCTGCTTGGAGCCGAGGATACTATCTCAACCACCTCTTCATTGCTCAAGACATCCCAAACCTGTAACACAAACAAACCAAAACTTTAGAGGAGAAAGATGGGATGAGAAGATCAAGGAAAACTAGCTTTTAGTTTCATGCCATGTCACGACAAGACCTAATTTCTTTGGAAGAGTTCGAAAGCCTCATAGACAAGAAGGATTGGCACTCTCATAATAAAGGGCTCACTAAATGTTTTAAACATGACAGTTACATCAACCTAACTAACATAATTATTTTGCTGTTGACATTCGTTCCTTATTCATTGTTACTTATGACACTTGTCCATCTTGCTGAGGTCAAAACTCAATTTTATAGTAGACCTTTAAGTCTCTCTTAGCCATTGAAAATTCATCTTTCTTTGCAGAACAATGGGCTGATATAAATGTTATATAACTTATATGTGATTGAGGAAGAATATGAGAGTTTAATCATCAAATGCATGACAACCTCTTGTTAACCTTCCACTTCCATCCGTGAAGCTTTGCCTAAATCGAAGGAATTAATTGTAACTCCTTCAATCTATTAAGGGCACTACAGAGGCAGATAAACACAAATATTAACATTAAACAAGAAAAAAGAAGCTTCCACTTCTACCTTCTCTTTTTCTTTTTTCCTTTGATATTGTTTTCTTCCTAGTTCCAATATTTGTGGTACTAATCTTATATGCTGAATACAAGTTTATTCCCTGCAACTCATATGGTTTCTCTCTATTTAAAAGATTAAACCCATAATTTCACACAAGTGTAAATTAAATGTCTACGGATCTTACAGAGAGCATGAACTTAAACCAGTTGGATAAAGAGTCATAGAACTCATACAAACCTACAATTAAGTGAATTCAAAATCTAGCACTAAAAGGCACTAGGCCTAGAGGCCCAATGGCACTTGCCATTGGAAAGTGCATTTCCTTCTCCCCGACGGGTTTCAAACCCGCCCATGTCCAAAAGTTCAAAAAAAAAAATCTAGCACTAAAAGGATGGCCCTGTTATACCAATTTACCAAAGCTGCCAAACAGGCACATCAATCAGTCAAAATTCTGTCAAAAAGGAAAATCCAATATCATGTTTTGCTCCTATACTTGAAAAAGCTACAACCTTGTATAATTTCTATAGGCCTTTGGCCAAGAGACTCAAGAAAACCCTTTTTCCCTCTAGGCAGCCTACAGTACAGTTCCCTTTTTTGGTGCTTCCACTGAAATCCTCATGCTAATTCTCTCTAGTTTCCCCATATATTACTTCTTGATAGAATTCTATGCAATCTACACTCAAGCAAAAATTGAGTTGTGTTGACTTGAGTTGCATTAGAGTTATTTATTTTTACTACACTACACCAATCATTTAATGTGCATCCTAATGCCATTCTATGTAGTTGGACAAAACCTCACATTTCAATTCATTACATCACAAAACCCCATATTTTCTATCTCCCTTCCATGGTGCACAAGCCACAGAGGGAGACTATTCATAATTCAACAACTCGTTGATTATGAAGTCCATTTCAAATCAAACTTGCACTGCTACCATGATATATCACTATTATACTATTCTTTATTTACATTTTTTCCCTCATTCTGCACCTTCCAAGATATATTCCACTTGTAGTTCCTTGAGCCAGAGTCCTAAAATTTCTTACCCGTAACTCACGAAACTTCTAAGAAAAGAAAGTTATAGACTTCAAAAAGAATACCATTATTAAAATTAATCTTTGTTACGTCTTTTGGAGTTCTTGTTATTAATATGGGTTTCAAAATTTTGTTTTTTAGATGGTCAAGTCCTTGTTTTATTTGCCTTTGGGCCACAACCAAGGTTTCTTTCTTCTATATTTATTGCCGGCTAAAATATCTGACACTCCTTGAATATCTACAAAATGAATGACACTTGGAAAATAACGTACAATGATGGAGAAGGAACAAAAAATGTGAGAGGCGAAAAACTTACCCCATCTGAGGCAAGAACAATAAACTGATCTCTTTCTGTGAGGATTCGGTGGGAAAACTCAGGTATAGAGATTACACCATACTCCTTTAAACAGAAGTCTCCAAAAGCTCGAGCCATTGCTAGCCCAGGGGCATCATCAAATGGCAACCAGACTCTTGGTACTTCAGGCTCATCTTGCAATGCAAAGACCCTACCTTTGCACTTTTTGATCCTTTCAGCTTCCCCTGAGGAAATTTTAAATTTAACTTTAATTGAATTATACCCTTAAAGTATGCACACAAGCAAAACACATGATCAGCCAGAGACATACTTGGCAAATCCGGCTTTAGATCAACTGTTAACTGTATTGCCACCATTGAGTCATTGCTGTCTTTAGATCCCATAATTGCTCGTGAATCACCAATGTTTCCCATGAAAAGATTGGACCCCTAAAATCATAAAGTCAATGTACATGAAAAGAAAAGGCTATAGGAGATGAAGGGTATGATAGGATGCTCCTTGTCTTACCTGTTTCACTATAGTTACAGCAGTGCTACCACTACAGAAGCAGTCCAAACTAGGATGGGATCTCAACTCTTTATCCATAGCCTTGTATGCTCTTAGGAATGATTCCCTCCATAAACTACCTAATTTATCCTCAGCTGCACTATCTTTCTCGGAATCTTCACCTGATTTCTTCAAATTTCCTTTGAAACATGCCCCGCCAGACCCATTTTCCCTTGATTGACAAGAGTGCAAGAAGGAAAGCAACTTGAGGGGAAGGGCATCTCTCACTTTGCGGGCAACAAGATGACCATGTGGACCATGGCCATCAAAAACACCACAAAATGTCACATCTTCTGACATGAAATCCTATAGATATTGATAAATACTAATAAAATTTTAGGCTTTAAAATTGAAACCTAAATTAAATGACAAATTTCTAATAAAATCTGAAAGTTACCTCCCATACAATCATGGCATCCTGGTTAATTCCTTTACGGCCTTGTTGAGTGAACACACAAGCACTTCTGCTTTTTCCATTTGTGAAAATCCTGTTGGGTATAGAGGGCAAATGCTGGATTGTAACAACATGGTCAGAGAATGTTCTTTTAGTTCTCTTTTGCCCACAAAATCCAATCCCCAAACATGCAGGACGAACTGCCTCCCCATTGCTCCGGCTACTACACGTACTCTGACCGCTAGTTGAGACACAACCCCCCATTAGCACTGATTTAGAAAGAAAACATGCGGTATGGTTAAAGTACAAGGTTCCTCCTTCAGCCAGGGCAGATCTCTCACATCCAATTCTTTAGCACTGATTTAGAAAGAAAACATCCGGTTTGGTTAAAGGACAAGGTTCCTCGTTCAGCCAGAACAGATCTCACATGCAGTTCTGCAGTTTCCGGGAATAGTCAACCTAGCTAAAGATTATCTAAAGAAAGAAGATTCCCACACAAGTCCACGAGCCACTTCACACCACAATAGACAATCCATAGGGGATTACGTGTTGATAATGAAACCAGCTGAACAAAACAAGAAGACTATTAGTTTATTGAATTGTTTATTAGCAGTTTCATCGAATCCAGAAATGGCTGCACGTAAAATAACACCTCAATAAGCTGAACAAAATGCATTGAAAAATGAAAACCTTCCATGTGACATGGGAATAGATTATGCTTAAAGTCGGTCTTAGATAGTTAGTCATCGATTAGGATTCACATTGATGCAAATCAAATGGTCAGATCTATATGTTATTCAATCCAAAAACCACCTATAAATTAACGAAGCCAAATAAAGACAGCAAAACGAGATAATCAAGAGCATGGAAACCAATAATAAACTACAAAACAAGAAAAATGTCATGTTTTCAAAGTTCAAACACTGAAAAGGCAGACCATGAAATTTCCCATGTATATTACAAGTATTCCTATCATAATAAAAACCCATTTCTAACTTACCAAAATAATCAAAATAAACAAATCAAGCTCATTCCTTTCAAGAGCAGAAAGTAAGGTAAACCCATTAAGATCCCCATTAACAAAGACAACATGCAACCCTCAGCATATAAGAAAACAAAACCCTTTCTTTCTCTGTCAGGAACATACATGCGTACAAGTTAAAACTTGTAATATTAGAAAGTGAGATATTGAAGAGAAAGGAAACATAAAGCACTGAAATTTGAGGATCATGCAAACTTTACCTTATCGGTTCACAAAGAGACCCAAAAGGAAGATCGATACAAAGAACAAAGAGCCAGAAATTGAACATTTCAAATCCTCAGTTTGGCTTCACAGGAGGAGAAAAAGATTAGATTTAGGAACCAAATATTGCATTACTTGGAATTTGACTTAAACAGGGAAAAAAGGGTTAGCCCAACAAAGTTGAAAGGTGGGAATGTCAATTAAAAGAAACCCAGGAAGAGAAAATTCAAAATTTTCATTTTCCTGAGAACCACACAGAGTTGAAACAGAGAGAGAAGGGTGGAAAATTTTCTTTCGTTCAAACTTTGATTACCGAGTTGAGGGAAAACCAAAAGAAGAGATAAAGCAAAACTGGAAAAGCAGAAAAGGACGAAACAGAGGTATGATTTTGTCAAAAACAGAACTAAAAAGACACAAAGAATGAATAATAGATCAAATAAACTTAATAAAAAAACACAAAATTCACTGTTTGCTAACGCAAAAAGAAAAAGAAACAGCAATTTAGAGACAAACAAAGCAAAAGCCCTCTAAGTCGGAAATTTTCCATCCTGGGAAAATGTAAAGAAATCAAACTCTTCTCTTTTCTCAGCAACCAAAGGAGGATCAAGGATTAACAAAAGAAAACTTCAGTGAACAACCATATACATGAAGATCTTACAAGCTCAAAACAATCCAAAACTCACCTGGTGTTTGCAGTGCTAAATTTCAGTCAGCAATAAGCATAAACCCATAACAATAATGAAACAAATAAGAATGGGAAGTATACTGTAGTTGGGGATTAAGAAAAGCAGAGGAAGCCTATCCCTTTGGCAAATCTTAGACTATTTGGCATCAGAGCAGTAGAGGAGGAGATGGGGAAGATGGATGCGCATTCATTGCTTGTAAAAGCAAAACGAGAAAGCTAGAGCAAAGTCTTTATAGTCAGCATTCAGCATAGCGAAAAACACGCTCACCAAATGCATTGATTGCATTTAGGGCCTTTTTGCCCCCAAATTAAATTTTAAATGACCTGCCTGCAAACTTAGTTTATAATTAATATTTTTAAATTTTAATATTTTTATTAAAAATTCTACTTATATATGTTATATATGTTGATTTTTAAATTAATTTAATATTTATAGTTAAAAAAATTATTTGTTAATATATTTTTCGTAATATTAAATTTTTTATAATAAACAAACTTTATTAATGTATATTTAATAGCACTAAATTTTATGTAATAAACCAATTAATTAAGTCTTTTAAGTCAATTTAAAAATTGATTTGTAATACATATACATAAAATTTTTAATTTAAATATTAGTTTTTAAAAATATTAATTAAAATATAAAGTTGTTATTTATATTTTTTTAAAAATAACTTATAAATTACTTTTATTTTTTTAATAATATGAGTATTTCAATATAGGTCTGACTTGTCTAGTTTTATAAATATTTACAAAACCATCTTATTTCAAAAATTACCTTCAAAGTGACCAGTGTTATATATTAAAATTATTTGCATGAGATTGGAGAGTCTCAAATTTACGTTTTCAGCAAGTTTGCATCACACTTTACTAATTGGGCCAATTACATTTAGAAAAAAAAAAATTATTAATAAAATACTATAAAACAAGTTAAAAAACATTGCATAAAAGGATACCTTTTATAATAAAATTTTATTGAGATTGTTATGTTTGCCTGGTTGGGATTGAAAAAATTGGATAAAGTTGTCATGAGTCCTAACGTGAAAGTAGAGATACTTTTTCGTGTGGGGAAAAAAATATTCATGTAAGGGGAAAAAATAGTTAAGATGCCAACATACCTTTTATTTATCATGGTAGTATTAAGGAGTATAAACACTATGGTTGCAGTTTTTTGGTTTTTTTGTTTTTATTTTAATTGTCAAAATTTAAATATCTATGTTTATTAACATAATTATTTTTTTACTTTTTTAATTAAGAATTTAAAAATAATTTATGTTTTATCTATTTTACCCTTAAAAAAGCTAACAAATAAAAGTGAGATTTTTTGTGTTAGGGTAATTAATTAAATTAAATGAATAATCGATGAGGTTAAAGTATAAAAAAAAATTTGTTTATTTTACAAAATAAATGAATGAAACAATTAATTTTAGATAAAATCAAAGTTAAAAAATGGGAGTTATTTTAAGACAAAGGGAACATAATTAGTAGTAATTTTTTGGGTCAAATTTAGGCCTAATTTGACTGTGTTGGGCTACAATTATAGTTGTAAGTTTTTTTATCTTTTAATATTTTAAAAATATATAAAATATATTTAATATATTTAATATTTATATTAATTAATATTTTATATATTTTTCAAACAATAAAAAACATAAAAATTAAAAGCTAAATCACTGAGAAAGATTATCAAATGAAGCCTCAGTTATGTTAGTCTTATTTTTGTATAAAATTTGAGTAGATGATTTTATATAGTAAACAAAAAAAGTTTTTCTTTCTCCATCTAGTTTTTGTTGTCGATCTGTTTTTTTTAAGTGTTGACTATTATTGTATTAACATTTTAACACCCATGTAACTGCATACACGTGCATTCACACACACATATATTTAAGGAAAAATATTTTTCATGTTGTCCTTGTGAAATTATTTTTAAATCACTTGTTTAAAAGCTCATTTTTAATTAAAATAATATTTTTAAAAACTAAACGTTAAATTAAAAGTTTTATTTTGTAGATTATACATATCAATTTTGAGATTGTTATAATTAACCTAACCGTTTTATTGATTTTACAAAATTTCAAATCATTATATAAATGCCAATAAAATAGAGTTTTTTTTCTATCAAAATGTTATAAATATTAGATTAATATAAAAATTGATATGCATAACTTATATAAATTGAGCTTTTAATTCAATAGTTAGTTTCTAAAAATATTAATTAGAAGGTGAATTTTTTTTTAAATCTTTCAAAAATAATTTTAAGAGGACAAGCTACTATGTATATAAAAGAAAAAATGTGTTTGGTAAAGTGAATTGCACATTAAAAATATAATTTAATTTATAAATTTATTAAAATATTTTTAATAAAATAATATAAAATATTATTTTATTAAAAATATTTTAATAAATTCATAAATCTATATTTTAATATGTAATCTAAATTACAAAACACGAATCCCAGGTAGAAATGGCAAGTTTTTGAGTAAAAAGCCAATGGGTCAAACTGAGTCTTGGTGTAGAGATTACCTTTTGCCTGCCTTTGTCCCCAGGCACAAGCATGTATAATTGCCGTAATCATTTATGCACATGCACAATGTCAATTCCTTAATTGCATCCATTGATTAAATAAGAGTATTGTATTAATAGAAAAGGAAAATTAGGATATTTTGACATTAGAAATGGTAGAATGTTTAATAATAATTACATAATAAATTTAATAAAGTTAAGTTTATATTATGTCTCACATATTTGGTGGTTATGATTGAATTTCTTGACATTTGACATCCTGATTTTCTATTATCTCTCTTTTTTTTTTTAAATACCATCTTCTTTTATTAAAAAAAAAAAAGAAGTTAAAGGCATAGTTTTTTTTAGAATATTTTGGTACTATCCCTCTTATATTTGAAATTTACATTGAATTTCGATTAATTTGAAATTAAAGCACATCAAAATCTTATAAGAGAAAAAGTTTTTTTAATACATGTTTTTTTATTTGCAAAATTTGAACTTTTGATCGAAACCTTACTTAAAGATAATTCGAGTGTTTTTCACTTAGACTAACATGTTTGTTGGTAGCCTTTTTTAGATGTTTAGATGTGGCTATTTTAATTCATAGACACATGCAATATAGATGTTGTAGATATTCTCAACTTAATTCTCAACTTAATTCTCAACTTACCCATGCTTGATTTGTGAGAAGTGGAATGGAGACGAGGGGAGAACAGAGACGAAAAGGGTAAAGAAATGGAAGGATCAGATTAAAACAAAGAAAATTAAAATAAAATAAGAAAAAGTTCATCTCCTCTCCTCTAATTTTATTTAAATAGTAATGTCGATCATTTTTTGTTTTTCGTATAATTGTCTAGAAACCAAAAGTAGAGAGAAATTATAGAAAAATCTTTTGCTGGCAGTGGATGTTAGTGTTATTAGATTTGAACCAAAATTTTTCTTAAGATCACACGTTGAAGTTAATTAGTAGTAACTCCATTAGGATCTTGTTCATAAATTATCATAATATCTGTTAGCAGAGAAAGTTATTAACAAGGTGAATATAAATATGAAATTAATATTTATTAGTTAGACTTACAAAAAATTAGATAAAAAAATACTTCAAAATTACGTTATTTTAACAAAATACTATGAGAAAAAACTAAAATATCCTCATTCTTAATTTAAAAATAATTAGGATGTTTTAGACTCTTTCAATAAAATTTTATTAAAACATTGTAGTTTTGAGATTTTTTTTTTGTCTAATTTTTTACAATATAGGCCAATACTTTTTTTTTTCGGTATATATATATATAGGTTAATGCATATTAGTCCCAACTTAAAACAAAATTAGAGTCCCAACTTATATTTAATAACTGAAAAATCAATTGAAAATTTAGAAATCCAATCAATTTCTAAATTTAAATATTAATATTTAATAAGATAGTTTTTAAATTTTAAATTAAGTTTTAAATAAATAAAACAATGTAGTTTACAGTTATGACTAATTTTTTTAAGAGTTGGGATTGATATATATTTTTCCCACATATATACACGACTATTTTACATTTTGCATTGTTTTAAACTGTAAAATAATAACCCTTAGATGAGACATGTGGACTCCCCTAATATTGGGTCCCTTCCCATCTAAAGTTCCTTATTTTATAATTTAGATTATTAAACAGCAAGCCCATACATATATATGAAAAAGGATTTATTTACATATAAATTTTACACACTACATTTATACAAAATCTTAATTATTTATCATTTTACTTTCAATAATTGAGTTTTATTCATATTTATTAAAAATAATTATTTTTTTTATCTAACAACTCGTGATAAATTTCAATAAATGAAAGTAGAGAGATGAATATATATCTATATACACACACCATGGATTCCCTTCTCCACAAGTTTTACATATTATATTTATAACCATTCATCTTTTTACTTTCGATAATTGAAATTTATTTACATTTATTTATTCATATTTATCAAAGATAATTATTTTTATGTAAAAAATTATAATATATCTCAATCATTGAAAGTAGAGAAATAAATTGTTGAGATTTTGTGTAAGTATGATGTATAAAAATTATATATAAATAGATTTCTATTCATAGATATATGTATATTTTGAAAAGTGCCTATTTGCATCTTTTTAAAAAATTAAGAGGAAAATTATTCAAAACTACGCTATTTCAATAAATTTTCATTATAAGAAGATTAAAATACCCTATTTTAGTAACATGAATTAGATTGTTTATAGTCATTTTTTATAATATTTTATTAAAATAATGTAATTTTAGAATAATTTTGCTACTAATTCTTAGGAGATGAGCAGATAAATATTAACACCATACATACATTTATATGATAAAAATGCATATTAGTCCTACTTTCAAAAAAAAATTAGAGTTTTAATCTTAAACGTTATCATTTCATTTAATTAAAATCTAATTCAAAATTTAGAAATCTATCTAATTAAATGTTGATACTTGAATTTAGAAATTAATTATATATTATGATATAATCGATTTCTAAATTTATGTATCAATATTATAATGTAGATTTCTGAATATTGCATTTGGTTTTTAATTTCCAAAAGTAGGAATCAATATTTAATAAAGTGGGTTTTTGAATTTTGAATTATATTTTAATTAAATAAAATATCCCTTAAGGTTGAGACTTCAATTTCTTTTTTAGAGTCAAAA